CGTGGGCGGTGCCGGTCCCGGCGCCCAGCGCGGGCGCGCGCCTGCGGAGCCCGACTTGGTGTTTCCGTGTAATTCACTGCGCACACTGATGGGCAGAGGCGGTGATCAGATCGCAGACCCTGTCCTTCCGGCACCGCTTCTCCCCAACCGCTCCCGCAGCCCTTTCTCTTGGGTTAGGTGTCCGCCGCCTGCTGTCACCGTCCGCGCGCCTTATTTCGAGACCGTTGACTCGAAAATAATTGCAGCAGCCGGTGCAAGGGTAGAAGGATTTGGGTGCATTCTCTTAAAATGACTCCCTTGACATGCTCCTCTCCTGAGCAGCTAACCAGACGTCGTCAGTCCCCCACTTCCAGCTCTTTTTGGTATTTTCAGACCCCTGCAAGGAAGGGCCCGGCTTTAAGGAGAAAGAACAGGAGTTGATGTTCATGTGAGATATGCGAGGAAGGGTCGTTTCCGTCTAACGAATGTGGATTCCCACCCGGGCTGCGATCTTACTTCGGTAATGCATCAGTGAGTGGCAGCGGCAGGAGGGTGAGCTCATGGTGAAAATCCCCCTAAACCGGACACTGTGATACAGATAAACAAACAGACTGAGGACGGGAGCAGGCAACTTTTAGGTTTCCTGCCAGATGACAGAGGATATGACCAGCCCAGGGATTTTTTTTCTGTCCTAACAGCAGATTCAGGCCAGGACACCTGAAAGGGCTTCCAGGAGACAAGCGACAAGTGACAGCAGGGTTGGCAGAGAGACTGCGTATCCAGGACCCCGAAAGCTGACTGCTTCATTCTTAGTATTTAGTTTCAAGTGGAAAAAGCCTTTTGGGTCTGTCTGTTTTTGGCAATGCAATGTAATGCTCCTCGGTTTGGGTTCCCGTAGCTCAGAAGCTTGTATGTTGAGGAGTTGGGGTAGGAGGTCAGCACTCAAAGACTCAGAAAGAGGTTTAGATTAAAAAATCGGTGCTAATCAGTTACTGTCAGGGGTTGGGTTAATGACCGAGAAGCCTCGTGACCAATAAATTGGCTGCAGCAAACAATGCCTGTAGTAGGATTATCTTCTGTTGCCCCGGCCAAGCCTATAGGGTGGACAATCTAGGATACAATAAAGAAAGTAGGGTAGGCTCACCTCACGTATCTGTGGGTTGAAAGGGCAGAATCACTGGGCGGTGCCGTCAGGCAAATGTATGGTAAAAGTCTACCCTGGATGGAGGCTGCCTCTATAGTCTCAGCTAGTGTTAGGGAGGCCCTGCTCTCTAACCATGGAAGGTCTAGCCTCTGCCCAGGACAGGAGCATAGCACTAGCCCCCAAGCACTACTTTGACATTGACTCCAGGTGCTAATCTGAACTCTTCAGCAAAGACAAGGGAGAAAGTCTGTAAGTTAGGTAGTTCACATCTTTTTTTTTTTTTTTTCTTTTTCCAAGAGTGTGTGTAACATAATGGAAAACTAAGGATGTCTAGGAGGCAGAAAGGTATTCCTGCCCAGCCAGTTCATGTTGTGACACGCAAATCAGCAGAGAAAGCTGTTCAAAGTCCTGCTTATAACTTTACCTTGGAAGAAGCTTGACTCTGAATGGGCCTAGCTGCTGTAACCAGTGTTTCTGAAAAAGAGACCTCTTTGGGTCCAGTCTGGGGTTTGGCTGCAGCTGTCCACCTTTTAACAGGTGATCAAGACACCTTGTAAACTGGAAGCATAAAAATGAGTTAGAGGTTTGGTGGTTCCTCAGAAAGTTAAACATAGAATTGCCGTATGATCCAGCAGTTCCATTCCTCGATATATGGTATACCCAAAAGAATTAAAAACGTGCATTCAAACAAAAACTTGTATGCCCATGTTCATGGCAGCACTATTCAGAATACCCAAAAGATGAGAACAAATGTCCATCAATGAATGAACAGATGAACAAAATGTGGTATATTCATGCAACAGAATTATTCAGCCATAAAAAGGAATGAATTACTGACATATGCTACAACATGGATGAACTTTGAAAATATTATGCTAAGTGAAACAAAAGGCCACACATTATAAGGTTCCATTTGTATGAAATGTCCAGAATAGGCAAACCCATAGAAACAGAAAGCAGATTAGCGGTTGCCAGGGGCTGTGGGTGAGGTAAGAATGGGGAGTGATTGCTTAATAGGTCCAGAGTTTCCTTTTGGGGTGATGAAAATGCTTTGGAACTGGATAGTGGTGATGGGTGCAGTACGTTGTGAATGTACCAGATGCCACTGAACAGTCCACTTTAAAACGGTCAAATGACTAATTTTATGTTATATGAGTTTTACCGCAGTAAAAAAACAAATTAGGGAAGGGACATTTTCCATAAAAAGTCATTGGCCCTATTTAGCATTGAGATGTGCACAGTTTGCAACATTCAGTGAATGAAAGTACCATTGTATTTATTTTGAAATAATTCTAACAGTTTTAATTATTTACACCAGAAGCAAATCTACGCTTGCAGTTGCTTCATGTTACATCATAGCGATATTTTAATTTTCGGGTAGATTGTTTCATAACTGAAACATAAAATCCAAACTTTTAAGGGAGTATAGAGTCTATTGGTTTGTACTGAATCTTCTGGATGCTGTATTTCCAACTGACCCAGATGTTAATTCATTGAAAACATCTGTGTTGTTTCTAGCCAGTTAATCCATATGTAAATGAGGGATTCAGATGCCCCATGGAGCTGTGGTAAAATGATAGGAACGGTTGATTAGTTGCAATGCTCTTTTCATTCCGGAATCTCAAAGTTTAGTAGCAAACAGTTCTGCAAGATAAATAATGAAAGGTATGACTAAAAATGAAATAAATTTCCAATGGCTTTTCTCTACTTGTTCCCTTAGGAAGAATCAAGCACTTTGCAAAAATACTGGCATTCTTGAAATCTACTACTTGTAACTATTCTGCTGGAACTGATAGAAAGCCTTCTATCTTATAATCGCAGTTTATTTTCAACTAAAAAAGTGGTGTTACTTAGCTCATTTGCCAATCTTTGTGGCAAATAACTGGGTTGTTTAAAAAAATCGGGATTATCTGCAAAGGACACAAATGTGTCACCCTCAGACATATTCAAAAGAATGTACCAAAGGCTCTAGGAACAGTTCCAAAAGAGCAGTTAAAAAAATTTTTTTTTTGAATGATGGGAAATGTAATTTAAATAATTGTTTTGTCTGCCAAGGTGACTAGTCACTACTCAGGGTGGGACGACACCCATTTAGATATGTTTATTTAAAAGTCAGTCCCATTACTTGATGGTTAAATGTTGTGTTAATTTCCTAATAAGGATAATGACACATCCATCATTCTTATTACACAACTCTCTCTGTCACACCATCAATATAAAATAGGTGGATTCTAATTACAGGTGAAACAGGCATGGACTTTTCACACCTTGCTTTCCCTAACAGGAAAGGAAGACAATGACACATCCATCATTCTTATTACACAACTCTCTTCTGTCACACCATCAATATAAAATAGGTGGATTTTAATTACAGGTGAAACAGGCATGGACTTTTCACACCTTGCTTTCCCTAACAGGAAAGGAAGATAATTCCCAAGCCCTCCCAAAATTCTAATTCCTTACATTTGTGTAATGACTTAAGTGCCTTAAGGCTGGCTGGTTAGTCAGTTGGTTAGCGCACAGCCTTATAACACCAAGGTCACAGGTTTGGATCCTGTACAGGCCAGCTGCCTAAATAAATATAATGCCTCAAAGCACTTTGACCTATTTTATCTCATTCTCTGCTCACAATAGCCTGATTAGGAACACCCAGCATTAACCTCACTCCCATTAGGCACAAGAAGTTGACGGGAAGAAAAGATTAAGTGACTCTCTCAAAGCCTCACTCGCTGCGGCCAGTTACAGAGCTAGCACTGGAAGCTCCCTGTTTTGACTCTTAGTCAGCGCTCTTTCTGATATGCAGAAATTGCTGTAGTGCCCATAATGCCTAAGTGTATGAAGGTCAAACCTGACCCTGAGGGACTGTACAGTCCAGTAGTTTTGTTTGTTGGTTAGTCTGTTCTTCCTGCCCCTTTCAGGCAGGCTGCCATCTCAAAGTTCCCCAGCTCTTAGGCTGATTCTGTAAGATGGTCTGTACTTTGAGCTCAGGCTCTGGTTTGTAAAATGTTCCAGGTGGCTGATGGAAAAATAAAATTAGAGGAGCTGAGCTTATGGTAATGTTTATTTACATGGCGTTTAAGCCCCACGCATTATTCACTTAACATGAGTTAGATTTGAAAAGGCAACTTTTTTGTAATGAAATTTGATGTTGCCCTTACCAGAAATAGGCTTCTCATGTGGAAAGTTTCGTATGAAACTAGACATGTGGAATGGAATTGTTGGTGGTTTTGTTTGTTGTTGTTAATAACGGAAAACATGACTTTAATTATTGGTTGTATTTTTCTCAGCCTCTGAAAACAATCCATGAGTTGCCACTGACCAGTCGAGACCTCAGCACATCCAAAGTCAGAAGCCTGTACTGTCTTAAAGACACACACTAGCCCTCGTACAAACTCTTACACCTTGCTTACCGCATCAGTCCTGTTTATGGGCAATCTGTTTATATAACACTAAACACAAGGCTTTGCTTGTAAATCTGAGGTTCTTTCTGAGAAACTCAAACAAAACATCCTGCTTACTCCCTCTCCCTTATTTTCCCTTTCAGCTTTTAAAGATGAGGGATACCTTTTACGTTTTCTTGCCTGTAAATGGGCTGCCCCTTGCCAGAAACAGATAATGATTCTTTTTTTTTTTTCCTTTTTGTCTTTTTTCGTGTCCGGCAATGGATCGCAACCCTCAGTGTCACTCCCATACCGGACCGGGACCGGCAACGGGATTGCAACCCTCGGTATTTCTCCTGCACCTCGCTCAGCCAGTGAGCGGGAACCGGTCTGTATGTGGGATCCGAACCCTCGGGGGAGTGTAATTGAACTCCTGGGACAGATACACTTGACCCAATAGACTCACCAGGGAAAGTACCATGAGTTCTGATGGAAAAGTCTAGTTCATTAGACAATTGAAGTCTTGTTTCCAGAAAGATTTGCCCCTCTGTGCCCTATTCTTAATTATTTAATCTTTTCCATAAGTGAGGGAATGAAATAGTAATACTGGGCACTTTACCATTAGCCAGAAACTATGAGGTGTTTCTGAAGCCTTTCTCCCATCCCCAGCATAGTCTTTTCATGAAATAACAGCGTTTTCTTAGAGAGATGTTTCTTTTGACAAATTACTGCCTTGGTTAATCTTATACCCATCTCAACAGCGCCAGCTATCTTTATAATTTGGCTGGCAGTGGCAGAAAACGCTCAAAGTTCTCCCTATTTTGATTTCCAGTCCATCTTCCCTGTCTCCCATTCCTTCATTCCTCAGCCCTCCCAGCCCTTCCTTTCCTGATCTCCCTCCCCGGGCTGGTCAAGTCACCTGGCTTCTGAGGTCCTACAGCATCCTCACTTCCCTCTGTCACTTGTCACACTAAATTGTAATTGTCCCCTCTCTTGCCTACAACCCCAGCATGTGGACTCTTTTAGGCAAGGATTATAACTTACTTTTCTGTGTCTTCAGCAACCAGCATGGCATATAATAAAGGCTCAATTAATGGACATAATTTAAATAAGTAGGCGCCATCTGTCTATGGCCAACCCTTTATTCTGAGGGCAGAGAGTTGGATTTGCAGTCTAAGAGGACTATAGGGACATAATCAGTGACTAGAAAGGAGACTTGGCTCAGTCCCACTTGCCAGACCCAAGATCCTGGATCTTGCTACACGCTATGCTAACTTGGACTGGCTAGATAACATTATAGGTTACCAAGTGACTCTAATTAAGGGTGTGTGTATTTGGGGGAGGGGGTGGGGGATTAGGACACAACAGCATGCAACAGACATCAATCTAGTAGCCTGCTCACAGAGGGGCAAGAGGGACAGTCAGTCTTCGCTGTGTGGGCCAGGGTCAACTAGAACTTGAGCCATCCATACAAACAGCAGATACTTAGTGGGTGCCTGCTCCGATCAGGCATGGGCTGAGATCAGAAAGAGCAGCTGGGAGAGAAGGCAGGCAGCTTCACATCTCAGCGCTGCCACCTGACGTGTCTACCAGCATCCTGTCTTCAGCCACCTAAATTCCTGAGCTTCATTTTCCTTATCTGGAAAATGGAGCTAATTATGCCCACACCTCGCTGGGTGGCTGAGAGGATTAATTGTGATAATGTTATCATGATTAAGCACCTAGCAAAGTGCCTGGCCCATAGTAGCTGTCAAGAAATAGTACCCTTTGCTGCTAGGCATTGGGCATTAAACATGGTTAAAATGATTTTATTATATACATATAAAGATTTTTTAAAACCAATACAAAGTTTTAAAGGAGGTATACTGATGATTGCTTTAAAAATGCAGAGAACAGAGCTTGGTAGTAGAAACATGATACAAGCCACCCATGTGATTTTAAATTTTGTAGTAGCCACTTAAAAAAGGTAAAATAAGAAGAATGAAATTGATTTTGATTATATATTTATTAAGTCTAATATATCCAAAATATCATTTCAACATGTAATCAATATAAAGATCATTAAAGAGATATTTTACATTCTTTTTTGGGAAGAGACTAAGTCTTCAAAATTCAGGGTACATTTTATATTTGCTGGAGTTCAGATGCTAAATTTCCATCAGAGATATTTAATCTACATTTAGATCTCATAAAATTTACAATTGAAAAAGTAGATTCACATAACCAAGTTGTTCCAAACATACTAAAACATTTTCTTTCTTTCTTTCTTTCTTTTTTTTTTAAAAAAAAGATGACTGGTCAAGGATCTTAACCTGGTCAGCACCACTCTCTCCCAAGTGAGCTAACCAGCCATCCCTATATAGGGATCCAAACCCATGGCCTTGGTGTTATCAGCACCACACTCTCCCAAGTGAGTCATGGGCCGGCTTTTAAACCTTTTCTTTTTAAAATTTTATTCAATATATTTTAACATTTACTTGTATATACTTAGATGTTTTCTAGTAACAGAGTTGAGTATCAGCTTTAAATTAAAATGGATTAAAATTTGGCCGGCTGGTTAGCTCAGTTGATTAGAGCATGGTGTTGATAATACCAAGGTCCAGGGTTCGATCCCTGTACTGGCCAGCAATCAAAATAATTTCTTAAATAAATAAAAAATGAAATGAAATAAAAAATTCAGTTCCTCAGTGACACTAGCTACAATTCCAATGTTTAACAGTTACATGGAGCTAGTGGTTATTTTCTTGGCCAATGCATGGGAAGTGGACGGGAATCCTGAATGTTTGGATGCAAAGAAAGGCGTGAGGCAGGGCATTCCAGGCAGGTGGAACAGCCTGAGAGCAGGGATGCATCCAGCATGAGCCCGGGACAGAGTGGAAGCCAGTCTGATCAGAACCAACAAGCTGAGGCTGAAGAGGCAGGATGGAGTCAGATTGGGAAGGGTTTGGACCCCGGGTTATGATGTTGGGGTTTTATTCTGTCGCTAAATAGGAACCACAGGAATATTTTTGAGCAGGGGGTAGGTGACACATGCACTGTTTTAGGTCCATTTGTCTGGCACCAGTGCCCATGAGGGAATGGAGAGAAGAGAGAACTGCCCTGGCAGAGTGGGCTGGAGGTGGCTGTGGTGACTCAGGTGTGCGGTGACAGCACCTGGCTAGTGCGAGAGTGAATAGAACCCTCCAGAGGCCTTACAAAGCCAGACTCCACAGGGCTTAGAAGCCAACTAGGCTCTTTTGAGAGAGGGCAGAGATGGCGGGAGGCTTGGGGACAGTGTGCCTCGGAGACTGGCTGACACCGAAAGGTTTAAGGAACCAGGTTGCTTCTGCTGTTAGGAAGTGACTCCCTGAGATGGACAGCTGACCACAGGCTCTGGAGTCTGTATTTTTTTATTATTATATATATTTTTCTTTTTTTGTTGTTGTTTGTTTTCATTTTATTTCTTTTTCCTTTTCTTTTTTAATTTTGCTGGAGTCTGTACTTTTTTATGGATTATTTTAAAGCAAATGTACCCCACCCTCTGAATTATTATTATATATATTTTTCTTTTTTTGTTGTTGTTTGTTTTCATTTTATTTCTTTTTCCTTTTCTTTTTTAACTTTGCTGGAGTCTGTACTTTTTTATGGATTATTTTAAAGCAAATGTACCCCACCCTCTGAATCATATGGTGACCCTGGACTTTGCCCTGAGTCTCTGAGATAATGAGACAAGGAAAGTTCCAGGAAAATCCTTAGTTCTAAGGAACTCTTTGAGTTTCTGGGTCCTGGTTGGAGCCAACTTAAGGGGCCTTCATTCTCAGAAGTCAGAAGAAAGGGCTAGGTGGCAACCCCTCTGCTCCCCACCTAGCCTTTTCTTCCCTGGGAAAAGCATTGCTTCTAATGGGAATTCAGATTTTGCTGTGTCAGAAGGAGAAAGACTGCTGAGAAGCTGCTCCTCCCCTCCCCCTCAGGTCCTCTAATCCTCTGCTGCCTGAGTCCCTGTAATCTCCAGTCTCTGTGTGCAGACAGTTGAGATCAAAGCAAGCGTCCTGGGGCTGCGGGTGCACAGTTGGAAACTGACCCGTGGACTGTGCTTTCTGTTACATGAAACAAGCATTGTCAGGACAGGTTGGGGGGTGCCTGCTCTGGGCCGGACACATTCTTGGGCTGGGGAGCAACATTGGGGGGAGGGAAGGCAAGGAAGCATGGAATAGGAATGAGATTGTGATGGTGGCCATTGTCTAATGAGCTCTCGCTATGTGCCAGGCACTGTCCAGGGGCTTCTTATCTGTACACCTTCTCCCCATTTCTCAGATGGGGAAACTAAAGCTCTGAGCAGTACAAATGAGCTTGTCCATGGTCACACTCCAGGGATGGTGCTGATTCAAACCTATAAATGTCTCCCTCATGGCACCCCTTCAAGCAGCATGGATCTGTGAACCACTGAGCGTCCCCGTGGGAGCACTCAGGGAACCCACACTGATCTACATTGTTAGGTTTTATTACTACTTTGATGAGTGGACCAAAGTTACATATTAGGAGCATCGTGAGCTACCACTCCCAGCTGCTATTTGGAATAAACTAGAAGCATTGATCAGGTAGTTCCGTGCAGGATGTGAGGGGATACTTAAGTTACTGTCATGGCTCTGCCCACCCACAGTGTGGGGTCCTTAGTGTGGGATCCACAGTGTGCAGGGCAGCCCCTGCCCCCAACTTGTCCAAGCAGCCCTGAGCCCCTGGCTGGGTGGGTCTGGGCAGGCTCTTCCTCCCGGCGCTGGCTGGGCACCAGGCCCGGGCTTGGGCTTTTCTAGGTCAGGCGCTTCTGTCTTCAGCCTGGCCGGAGGATGCAGTTTGTGAAAACTGCAGACATTGCTGGCGTGCTGCATAAACACAGACTATCTCCCAATCCAACATTTCCTTTGGGGAGGCTCCTCCCGCAACTGGGATAACTCAATTCCAACTTCTTATCAACTGGAGCTTCCTACCCTGATATAAGGAAGCTATTAAAGTCCGTTTCCTGGTATTGCCTTGACCCCCCAAACATGCTCCTGTGGAAGCAAATGTCCCTTAAAGGAGAATTTTTTCACACTCCAAAAATCCATTACCTAGCCTCAAATTCCCCACATCAAACAAGCCTGCAGGAATTTTGAACATGTTTTTAGCCAAAGCCTTCTGCCCTTAATGTTTACCTTCTACTCCAGCTAGTTTAAACATGTTTACTCAGCTCTGGGGGCCCTCCTTAAGAAGGCCCCAGCTGCCTCTGTCCCCTTATTTCTGAACTTTTTTTCCTTCCTCCTGTCCATCTGCCCTTTACCATGCCTCAAATGGTCCTGCTCCCCTCTTTTAAACTTCCCTTCACATTTCCCCTGCTTCCCTCTTAATCTTCTGATTGTGAAAGTTCTATCCTCCTCTTTCCAAGTCCTACTGAAGGAAGGAATGTGACGAGGTAGAAATGGTGAAGGATATCTCTCAAGATCCAGCTAAAAATAATCTGAACATTCCATGAGCTCTCTAACCTTCGTTTTTCTCCCTCTCATCTGAACTTCTGTGGAACTCGTAGTCTCTCCCACACAATTCAGGACTCATGATAGCCAGCCTCCAAGACAGCCTCCAGTGAGTCTCCACTCCTGGTATTCAGGCCCATGTGTAGCCCCTCCCAAAATGACAGGTCCAAGCTGTGTAACCAACAGGATAGTGTGGTACAGAGATGTAAAACATCACGGCTTCTACCTTGCTCTGTCAGATTACAGGCTGAGGGAGAAGACGGCCGCCATGTTGTGAGGATACTCAAGCAGCCCTGTGCAGGAGACCACATGGTGAAGAATTGAGGCCTCCTGCCAACAGCCAACACCAGCTTGTCAGCCAGATGACTGCACCATCTTGGTAACAGATCCTAGTCAAGCCCTAGTTAGCCCCCAGGCAACAGTTGATGTGCAACCTGTGAGAGACCCTGAGCTAGAACCATGAAGTTATAGTTTACTCCCAAATTCCTGACACAGAGGAACTATGTGAGATAGATAATAAATGTTTACTGTTGTATTAAGCTAAGTTTTGGGGTAATTTGTTCTGTAGCAATAGATAGCTAAATCAGAACTTAAGTAATAAAAATGATAATAATAATAATAGCAGTTGACATTACCCAGTGTTTGATAAGTGCCAGGCACTGCTTTTCTATATCTCATTTAACAGTGTAGTCAATAATAATAATCACAGAAGCAGCAATTAACACTGATAATGTGGCAGAAACTGTTCTAGGTGCCTCACTCATAGGAACCATGCTGTCTTCATGATGGCCCTATGAAGTGGGTACTATGACTGTCACCATTCCTATTTTGCATATAAAGAAATTGAGACAGAGAGAAGTTGAGTAACGGGTCCAATACACACAGCTTGAATGTGGCAGGGCTGGGATTGGAGCCCAGCCTGGCTCTAAAGCCTGTGCCCCTCACCACTCATCCCTATGTTGTTGTGTTGTTTGGGGGGTGGGTCTTGGCTCTCCAGTACAGCAGACACTTTTTCTCGTTACTGCGACTTTTGTGTTTGCTTCTGCATGATAAGGGCTGGGTAAATGCTTGCTGCGTCCCTTAGCTCAGTACTGTCTGGTTGAATGATAGTGCCATTGTGGCACTTTTCACATGTAATTATAGTGAACTTTGCTCAGACAAGAGCAGAACTGCTGCCACACAGAGAGACCAAGACAATGGTACTGCATGAAGGAATGTAATTTTTTTAGCTAGACCCATGAGGAATGTCATTCTGACTGGTTTATCCAAACAGGCTGTTACCAGGTGTTAAGTCTGGGTTTGTGCCATGGGAGATGACCTGTAGCCACTCATGTTCCTTGATCCTCCATGCTCCTATCCTGTCCATTCTGGGGTACTTAGCTCCCACTGGACCCTGGGTACATTAAATCTGGCATCTATTTCACTCTAAAGCAAAATCACCTTAGTTCCATATAAACATCAGCTCACTTCAGCTCCTGTCTCCTGATCTGGGAGTTGGAGCTTTGAGAGCCTGGGAGAAAAGAGGATGTGGGGTTCTTGTTTAAGACAATCCTTAGCTGGGTGATGCCAGAGGAGCCTGGTAGGATGGGTGGCCAGCAAACCTCCAGATGAGCAGGTTCCTTTGTGTCATTTTGCTCCAACATTGACCTGACAACTCAACAATTGCTTCAAAAATTCATTTTACCCCACATTTGGTGAGTTCCTCCTAGAAGCAGAACTCCAGACCTTAAGGGTTAATAGAATAGGGTCGCTGCCTTCCAAAGTGCTGACATCTATCGAGGAAGACTGATAAAAGTGTCATGTATTATTCAGATCATTTTGAGGGCCTGGACAGGGGAGGGGGAGGGTCGAGCAAGGACCGAGTATGGAAGTTGCTGGGCTCCAGTTTTCAAACTGGAACAGCACGGTCACAGCATCTTAATGTTATCCTGGTGGCCTGCTCAGTCTCTTGCATCTGGAAGCAGGATGTCAGGCTGGATGGAAAGTGCTGCTTTTATATCCTGTTCCAAGGGCTTCCTGGAAAGACAGAAGAAAAGAAAGCACAAGCTCTTGAGTCCCAGCCTGCTTCTCTCCACGGAGCAGTGACTCACCCTCGGGGAACAGTCAGCAGAACCACCAGAGCATCCTGGAACATTACTTGGTTGTTTTGACCATGGCACAAGACCGGAATATGTCCTAGGGGCTGGTCTGTGTCAATGTGCACAAAAGCTGTGCTGGGCTGCTGGACACCCCTCAAAACCCCAAACTCTCCATGGACTCCTGGTGCCTTAGCTGACCAGAGTTCACTGACTCTGTACCTGGCACTGGGAGCCTGTGGGGTGTTAGGCCCTGCTGGGAGCTGGGGATTTAAACAGACTTAAGATATATCCTTGGGGAGTGTCAGGTTTACAAATTACCACATGTCACAGACTTCTAGGGTCACTAGAGCCCATTGGAAGCACAATTTTAAATGGGTGACTGCCAGTATCTACTCAGTATTCCCAGTAGAGCCCCAGGGAGGCTCTGCACTCTGTTAATATTGCAGGACCCCCAGCCTCCCAGCGAGGAGGTATTTAAGCCATTCTCAAAGTCAGCCTTCCCAGCTGTGTGAGTTTCCCAGGGCTGCCATGACAAAGTTGGCCAAAAACTGGTTGGCTTAAGACAATAGAAATTTATTGTCTCACGGTTCTGTAGGCCATAAGTCCAAAATCAAGGTGTCAGCAGAGCCATCTCTCTCCAACAGCTCTAGGTGAGAATCCTTCCTTGCCTCTTCTAACTTCTGGAGTTTACCAGAATCCTCGGTGTCCCCCGGTGTGCAGACGTGTCACTCCATTTACGTGGCCATCTTCTCCCCACATCTCCACATTGTCTTCCCTCTGCATCTCTGTGTCCACATTTCCCTTGTTTATAAGGACACTAATCACATTTAATTAGGCCCCACCTAAGCTCCTTTTCACTTAATCACTGCTGTAAAGACCCTATTTCCAAATAGGTAACATTCTGAGGTACTGGGTGTCATGACCTCAACATATCTTTTTTTGGGGGGGACACAATTCAACCTATAATACCAGCCTTATAAGAATGTTCTCCGGCAAGACCCACAGCAGCATAAAATTGTATGAAAAGTATGAATTGTGGAGCTAGAACAACTCAGTTTGACACCAAATCCAAACTCTTACCAGTTCTCTGAGCTCGGCACATCACTGTAACATGAACCTTTGTGTGTCCTCTAAAACAGGGACAATAATGCTTACCTCACAGTGTTTGTAGAAAGGAGTCACTGCTGATATATCTAGCACCTAGAATTCCTGGATCAGTAAATATTCTGTTAAATTGTATTTATGCACACACATATATGTGTGCATGTGTGTGTGCATGTGTGTGTGTGTGTGTGTGTGTGTGTGTAGTCATTGCCTTATGAGGTACTCTATAGGCAAGAAAGATGACATAGACCTAAACCAGTAATGACAATATATTGAGATACCAGAAATAACCAGAATATGTACACAGTACAGTAGAAGTAGAGAGGAAAGCCTGGGAGGCTTCACGCAGGAGGGGGCACCGGGGGAAGGGTTTTCAAGGTTAAGCAAGAGTTTGCAGGCATGGGCAAGGAGGTGTGAAGCAATAGGGCCCATTCAGGGCATCACAAGCAACCTGGTATTGCAGGACTGTAAAGTGCACATGAAGGAGAGGTGGGAGATGAGGAAGGAAGGGTAGGCAGGGAACAGATCATGCATGGCTTCATGTGCTTGCCCAAGAAGCATGGACTTTATTTCCTGTGAGTGATAGGGAGACATTTCAGTGCTTGGGAAGAAACAGATAACACACCCAAGCTGGGTAACCAAGGAGAGTTTAATAAGTGGACTACATATAAAAGTCTGAGAAGGACTTAGGGGAACCCACAAAAGGCAGTGGAGTACCCCAGCCACCGTGGGGAACTGTTGGTGCACCCAGGCATCTAGTGCAATGGGGTAGGGTGAGAACCTGTGTCTCCTGTAACTGTAGGAGTGGCTGCCAGGCAGGGGCGTGGGCTTTGTTAGAGGGAGGCAGCCACTGAGAACCCAGGGAGCTCAGCGATTACATACCCCAACCTCTTCGCACCCTCCAATCCCTTGACCCTATTGGAAGTCTGAGTCAAGGAAGCCCAGGTGATAGAGTCTGTGGAAGCCAGATCCCCAGGGCATGATGGTGGAGAGGGTAGAGACAGAGAGAGGATCTGGAGAAGCAAAGTTAAAATGCCCAGTCCAGAGGGTCAGCTGGTGGCCTGAAGGAGGGCAGGTGCAGGGAATTGGGAACAGTCTGGCAAGAGATGCTTCGATTCTGCACTGAAGCCTCAGAGAAGGTTTGGAAAGGCAAGGACAGAGCTGAAAGAAATTTAAGAGATGCTTCGATTCTGCACTGAAGCCTCAGAGAAGGTTTGGAAAGGCAAGGACAGAGCTGAAAGAAATTTAAAAGGGACAATTGACCGTGCTTGGTAACCACATAATTAAGGAAGATGAGTGAGAGGGAAGAGTCTAGAAGTTTAGGCTTTGGGTAAATGGTGTTGTCAACTCAGTAAGAGAAATCAAGAGGAAAGAAGGTTTTCCTTGGGCTTGAGGAGCCAGGGGTGAAGGTGTGGGATAGTGTGCTGCTAAGAATCTTAGTTTTGGATGTGTTAAGGGGCCAGAGGGGCGTCCTCATCAAGATATCCACAGGCAGTTGGTGACATGGGTCTAGAACTGTACTGTTCAATACAGTAGTCACTAGCCGCATGTAGCTACTTAAATTTAAATTAATTAATATGAAATAACAGCTAAAATCCAGTTCCTTAGAAACACTAGCCACATTTCTTTTTTTTCTTCTTCTTTTCTTTTTTTTTTTCATTTCTTTTTTTCTTGGTGGCTGGCAGTACGGGGATCCAAACCAGTGACGTTGGTGTTAGAAGGCTGCACTCTAACCAACTGAGCTGACCGGCCAGCCTCACGCCAGCCACACTTCAAGTGCTCAACAGCCACGTGTGCTAGTGGCTACCATATTGGATAGCACAGTTTATAGAACATTTTTTTCCTTTTTTGGAGGGCTGGCTGGCCAGTACAGGGATCTGAACCTTTGACCTTGGTGTTATAACAAGTTTATAGAAAATTTTCATCATCACAACAAGTTTTTTTTTTGGGGGGGGAGGCTGGTCAGTGTGGGGATCCGAACCTGTGACCTTAGTGTTATAAAGCTGCACTCCATCACAGCAAGTTCTACTGGACAGCA